AGGGGAGGGGAGGGGAGGAGAGGGGAAGGGAGGGAAGAAAAGAAGAGAAAAGAAAGAAAAGCATGCCCGGTGCATGTGTATATGTGCCCACAGCCCTGAAAGGAGAAACAGAGGAGAAGGGATTGCAGTGTGGCCAGCCCCCATGGGGAGAGGTGCTTTCTTACTTTTTCTTTCTTTCTCCAGCAAGCATAAACTCCCTCTAGAAAATTTAAAAAAGAAAAAAGGGGCCCTAGTGAAAGCCTGCTGTCCCTCTTGCCCTTCACTGTCACTGTCACTGTCACACCCATTGTGACAGCTAGATGGGGCTGTGGTAAGACCTTGTGAAGGCCCCGGATGTCACTCAGGTCGCAGCTTTCGATGGTGTGGCTTAGTGACCGGTATTGCTCGGGAAAGCACCAACTCCTGCTTACGCTGTGGAGGAGCTGAAGGCTTACAGATCCCCTTCTCATAGCCCCTGGGTGCCACCTCTGCATCCCCACAGCCTACAGAAGCTGGCCCTGAGCACAGCACAAGCTCCGAAGGGGCTTTCCTCCCCCTGCTTGAGAGCCCGGGGAGATGGTGCCTGCCTTCACGTTTGCTGAGGGCCTGAGTGGTGAGCTAGTCTGTGCAGATGGCATGGCCTTTCAGTCCCTGTCCCCTCTGCAAGTCCCCCTGGGCCCTCCAATGGTCACTCTGACTCCCCACTTTGTGGGGAGTTTAGTCACCTTGTTTGCAACAGACTCACTTCACCAAGTGAGACCAGATACTCTGAGCATTTTTCCAGCCTCTAGAGAAGCGAGGGCAATGGGGACATGGAGAAATCAAGATGCTCTCAATCTGGTTAAAGAGCCAGTGCTTAAAAACACATGTGACAGCATGATCAGTACAGCAAGCTGCGGCATGCGTACCATTGGGCCGGCAGGGCATGCAGGGTGCGGGGTGGGGTCCGTAAGCTGGTGAGCGGCAGAGCGGTGGAGCCAGTACGGGGCGACTCCAGCAGGTGGCAGTCAAGTGTCTCGAGGAGCAAGTGCTTTCTTCCCTGGTGTGGGGCATGTATAAGGCACAGGACCAGAATGGAGGAGATGATTTGCTATAGGCTGGTGTTGGGGGAGAAGGGACCAGGGAAGACATGGGACTTAAATTAGGTATGGCAGGAGTCTGGCTGGTGGGCTGCATGGCCCGGTGGGAGGATGTGAACAGAGGAGAGCAGGTGACAGCCGTCTTTCGGCCAGAAAGGCAGTGGTGGTAGGGGCTGGGAAGAGCCTCGCCTGCAGCGTTGGTGTCCTCAAGCCCACTGGAGGCCCCAGATGCCTGGAGACTTGCAATCAACCCCAAGTCAAGAAGGCTGCATTTGGAGCTGCGGGGTTTGGCTAGCCATGGAGGAGGCCTCACAGGGGCAGGAGCTGAGTCTGGGGCACTTCCCGAATCAAAACAAGGTCAGTC